CCAGATGTGCATGACCTCAGTAACCATGGCCAGACACACCTGGATTAGTCAATTCATCCAGTAATGAAGACAGAAAAAAAAGAAATGCCTTAAGTTCAGGAAGTAGAGGAGGTGTGCATAAAGCCCATTGAGTTTAGTTTAGAGTTAGGTAAGAAGTTAATCAAATCTAAAGCTAAGCAAAAGCAAGAATCACTTGTTAGATATCCACAATGTTCCTTGTAGATATCTTCTTGTGGATATCAGGAGCTAAGAGATGAAAACACATGAATGGCCTTTGGCCTTTGTTCTCAGAATGAGGATGTTTGGGATATGTTAGATAACACTGTTTTTGAACAGGAGAAATATGGCAAACTAAAAAATACATTTAGAAATATTTTTATTGTATAATGTGATTTCTTTCGATTTATTTGCATTTTTATCAATACAGAGTATTGATTATTGATTGATTATTGATTATTAAGTATTGTGTTTCAACTATATCTAACTGACATTGAAGCTGCTAAAACAAATTGCTACCAAACAACATTGTTTTTTTTCAGCAAAGCTTCTTTTTTATCCTGTTTTTTAAAGATAACTTGTCTGCGACAGTTGTACATAAAATAGAGATTAACATAGTACAACCAGGCCCCACAAAAAAGTTGTCGACGTTGACATCCTCACACAATTTGCGATGTCCGTTGTACCTTAGTAACAACAAAACTAATATGATCAAATATAAAGTACGTGTTTTCAGCATCGAATAATAAATACAAAAAATATATATTTCATACAGCTGACCTTCCTTTTTACATGTTACAGCAGCAGCAGATAAGCAAAGACTGTTACATATTTCCCACTGCCTCCTCAGAGTAACAAGAATGGAGGTTTGCTAAAAGTACAGCTCTCTATGTTTGCCTGTTCTTTCTCCATTTATTTGAGTTTATTTTCAGTGATCTGTGTCTCTGCTCACATTCCAAAGGAAGGTCATGTGGACTCTTGAGACTGTTGTGTTGAATCTATTTTTTTGTTCTCATATAACTGTGTAAGCTGGGGAAACTACACTGATTATGGTAAAAGGTGGACTCAGTTCACGCAAAACAAGTTTTAGTTTTAGAATAAGTAATAGAAACAATAAGATACGACCATTGGGATTAATTTAATGAATCAGCACAAGAAATATAACATGTCCTGGAAGCTACTGTATATTTACACTTTGGCAAATAATAATAATATAATGAGTGTGTAGGATACAAGGGATCTAGCAAGGAGAAGCAAAAAAGATGAAAAATCCCTCTCTCCAAATACTGAGTGAGACTATTTGCCGAAATTTAACGTTCATGAAGGATATCAATATAAAAACATCCCACAAAAAAAGAACATGATAGTTTTAGTTAACCCTCTGCAGAATTAATAATTCTTTATTATATCCAGTCATTATCTCCCCTTTAATTCCAATTCACAAAAGTGTGAGATATATTTTATTACAAAAAAAGCAACAGTTTTTCATTGATGATTAACTGTTTAGTAAACCTTAGCAGTAGTCATTCAATATTTGTCTTCAACTCTTCTTTTCTTTTCTTTCCTATTTGACCCCAGAAGCTATGATGAAATTACCAGCAAGTCCCCTGTCTCCTTCAGGGAATAATATATTCACAGATGTACTTCTTCATGCTGCGGCACACCTCATCATACCACTTTCCTTTAGCAGCCACAGAAAGAGCTACACAGCTCTCCCTTTTTGTTCCTGTCGGCTGCTTCTTAGAGCGATCCCAGTTGAAGAAGCTGATTGGCAGACTGTTGACATCAACATACTGGCCTTCCTTCACTATGTCTGCCACTCCTATCCAGAAGTCCCTGGTTCCTGGGGCACCTCTCTTTGCATAGTCCCTCACCTCGTTGTTCTCCATCATGTCTCGTGGTGTTGCAAGAGTTCCTCCCTGAGCAATGCAATCTTCGTTTGCCTCATGGTAATGTTTGGGCTCCTCTTTGAGAAGATAACACTTCCCATGTGTTTTGATGCCTCGGAGACAAACTGAAAGCAATAAGTTGAATAAATTCCTTTTTGTATCAAGTCGCAATGTAACATTTGGATGGAAACAGCTGCAAAGTCTGTCAAAAAATCTAAAACATTTCCACATTATTTTGTGCCATTTTATATCATTCAGATTAAATATAACTTAATTTTTACTAAATCATTCAATGAATTCAATATGGTCTGCTGCCCCCTACTGGTGACATGGAACATCTGGAACTTCAAATATTGTGCTGTAAGTCTTCGTGACAGGAATATTAAATTGGAATTGTCAGTTTATCTCTTCACCTATTCATTTATGACATTTAGGTAGTTTTCCATGCAGCCTTTGATTTTCAGTCATCTCATCTGTCAACAAAGAAGTTTATGTCTGCAGATTACCTGTCTGCAGTGCCTGCACCTCTTTGAGTAAATTCACCTCCTGCCACAACTTCTCAATCTGGGATTTCACATCCTCGTCCTCTGCAGCTGCACATAGAAAACCAAGCCAGCAAAACAAGTCAAATAAATACAAATGCAGAGCACATTGCTACCAAAAGTTGTCCGACATGCATATCTACCTCCAGTCTGGCGAGGCGAAACAGCTTTCTTTGTGCGAGATGGATGGCTGCAGGAGAGCAAGGAGAAACTGAGGATAAGGACGACGGGCAGGACCAGATGAGCCATGTCTGAGGCAGTGGGAACCTGGAGCACAGGACTCTGGGGCACAACCTGTGCTTCTTCGAAGGGAAGTAAATATTCTACAGGCAGTTTAATATATAGTGGCCCTCTGTATGCCTGTCTGGGTTCTCTTTCTGCATTGGCTCCAGTGCTGTTTGTTTTTGTCAAAACATCAGGAGGAGGTGAGGGTGGTGTCAAAGAATGATTTCCTTGTGTCTAGTTTATTTTTAGATAAATATTTACTTGGAACAAGGTGCCCCGAGCTGCATTTTCAAAAACTAAACATACATTTATTAAACTGCTACCCTTTTGCATCGTTTCCCATTTATCCCTGTACATATCTTAGTCTTGGAAAGACTTAAGAGTATAGGAACATTTAAAATATTCTGGGGTGAAACCAGGAAAAAAAAAACATATATATTTTTTTTTTAACATATTATTAACAATACTATGTAATAATTCATATAGGGTTGTCCCATCCCTTGATGTTTGGAGGCCTCCTTGTGTGTAGAAACCATTTCAGCTCTGCACACAAAACATCAATTGGACTAAGATCAGCACTTTATGCTGGCCACTCTACTTTACTTTGTTGTCCTAAAGCCATTTTGTGACTAATATGGTAAAAATGTCAGTTCTGTTTTTCCGTGTACTGTTTATTGCTTCAAATTTCATCTTTTTGTTATGTGCACATGTTCTTCTTGTAGTGAAAGATCCCCAAAATATGAAGCGCTTTAACAGTGGGATAGTGTTCTCTAGCTTCCCCCTTAATTACCTTCACCGAGAAGGTGAAGCACTGTGTCTCACAGGTGGGCCTTCATATAACCACGAAATTTCCAAGTAATTTATTTCCAAAAGTGGTGACATCATACTCTCGGGTGCCCCAAATAGTTCAAAGACATAGTCAGCTTAGCATACTAGCATCTAAATTAGAAAATAAAGGTAATCAAAGATTACTCTCTCATAATTTGTACATTAAGCAAATTTGAATATTGTTTGCGCTCCTAATGTGTTTGTGTAGCTTTAAAATCAGACACTGATAAAAAAAAATAATAAAAAAAATATTATTATTTTATCATATCTGATTTCAACCCATAGTAATGATAATAATAATAATAATAATAATAATAATAATAATAATAATAATAATAATAATAATAATAATAATAATAATAATAATAATTCATTTTACTTGAAGGTGCCTTTCTTGCCAATCAAGGACACATACAATGATACACAAAAATGCCCTTAAAAATAACAATAAAGATCAATAAAATCAATAAAATAGACAGAGGAAATGGCAATATCAATAGGCATTAGATGTGTTTTGAGTTGTGATTTGAAATGGGAGAGTGAGTCAGTTTTTCGGAGTTGGGATGGTAACGAATTCCAGAGATGGAG